GGGACTTTAGTTGAGGACTGGGCACCATCATGAGCAGACTGCTACAGAAGGAACCAAGGGCCAGAGCTGACCCTTCCTGTGCTTGCATCGCTGACTGAATTATTTCATGCTAAACACAGAAAACAGCCTCCGTCTGTCTCTTCTGGGGTTGACGTCTTGTGCCGACCCCTTTCTCCCACACAGGTGGTCCAGTGATTGAGAGGATTCTGACACAATTGCCAGTTCCCAGGGCCACTGCTGAAAATAACTGGAGGGATCGCTCCTCAAATACCTTATCTGCCCTTCATGTTTTTTCCTCATTTTCTTTCATTTTTGCCAAACTTTCATCCTTCCCACCCATCCACTTTTGTTTTCTTTCTTTTTCTTATATTCTTTTCTCTTTTCCACTATTTTTTGTCATCTATTGTTCTATATTTTCAGCTCTTCTTCATCTCCTTGGCTTTTTAAATCCCCCTGCCTCATTCAATGGGAGGAACATATTACCCTCCACTAGTCAGCTGTGGCTACTACACTGACTACCTCACTCAATAGAAAAGTAATATGAATAGCTCCTGAAGCACAGGATCAATGACTGACTGTGGACAACATCTGCTCATCCCAATTCCAAATCCTCTTCACAACAAACAAAGACCTGCACCTACATTCCCACCAGCGGTTCCACCAACACAGAGAAAGCTGGAGAGTGACCCAGTACAACTGAGTTTAACAGCCAAAGGAGTACACCTGCTCCACACTTCCAGATATGTTGTTGTTGTTGTTGTTATGTTGCCATCAGGTCAGACCCAACTCATAACGACCCCCTCCTTGGGTTTCTGAGTATCACTATGGAAGTAGATTTCCCAACCTTCCTTCTGAGGAGTGGCTGGTGGGTTTGAACCGGTAGCCTTCTGGTTAGCAGTCAAGTGCCTTAGGCACTACACTACCAGAGCTCCTACTTCCAGATACAGTAAAACATAAAACCATGGTGAAACAAATCAGTACATAACTACCAAATAAAGACAAAAACTTCAAAATGTCTAGGAAACAACAGAAAGCTTCAAAAGGAAGGAAAAAAAAAGGACAAGATAGTAGAAACAAATGCCTATGCTAAATAATTATGATTTTTTAATTAAGATTCTCCCCAAGGAAGAATATGAAATAGAACTATCTGATAAGGAATTCAGAATATATATATTCATTATATATTCATTATATATCTATATGGGACCCTCCAAGAACTCAAGGAAACCATCAACAGAAGCAATATGAACACAGAGAGTACCCTGGAAGAATTCAGGAAAATCATTTAAGAACAAAATAAATAAACAACTAGAACCATACAAAAATAGCAATTAGAAATCCAGAGGATGAACATTAAAATTGTGGAGATAGATAACACATTGGAAAGACAAAAGAGTAGACTAGAACTGGCTGAAGAACACATTTCCCAGCTAGAAGACAAATCCCTGATGCCAGCCTTTATGGAGAAAAATCAGAAGAAAGATTTAAGAGAAATCAAGAAAACCTAAGAATTATATTGGATGACATGGAAAAAAAATATGCCTGATTGGAATTCCAAAACAAGGTGTGTGTGGGGGGACCTCACAGAAAATTATCAAAGAGTGGCTAACAGAAAAATTTCCCCGTATCACAAAAGAAGAAAAGATATCCATCCAAGAAGCTCAATGAAGCCTATACAGGGTAGAACCCAAGAGAAAAGTCACCAAGACATATCATATTCAAACTTTCCAAAAACAAACACAAAGAAAAAATCTTGGGAGCAGCTCAGCAAAAATGAAATGTCACCTACAATGGGCAACCAATAAGTCTATGCTCTGATTTCTCAGCAAAAACCATGCAGGCAAAAAGGCAATGGGATGGCATATACAAAACCTTGAAAGAAAAGAATTGTCAACCATTAGCTATATATCCAGCCAAACTATCCCTCAAATAAGAGGGTGAAATCAAGACATCCCCAGACCAGCAGAAATTGAGGAGATTTGTGAAAACCAGACCAATGCTACAAGAAATGCTAAAGGAAGTCCTTGTGATAGAGAACCCACAACAGAAAACAGCAAATTAAAATCAAGACACTTGACAACACCGAGAAACCAAAGGAGAAAAAGCATTCTCAAAATAAGCTCACACACACAAAAAAAATGTACATAGAGAAATAGGGGGGTAAATCTGCAAACGACACCAGCAACAAAGCAAATAGAGGGAATAAACATTTTATTTACAAAACTTCCTAATGGAGAGGAAGACAGGATAATGTCTTTATAGAACAGACTGTTTCAAACTTAGGGAGATGAGAATTTACTTCAGGGTAACCGCAAAGAAAATTAACAATCCTTGTAACCAAGTAAGAAAGAAGAAAATCAAAAGGGCTTAGTGAGCACAAAACCAACAATAATGAAGATAAGAGTAAAAACAGTTAATAACAAAACGAATTCAGCAAAGAAAAATATTTGGAACAAAGAAACAACCAAAAACAAAACAAAAAACACAACAGAATGAGAGCATAAATTCATACCTACCACTCAATGTGAATGGATTAAATGCACTAGTGAAGAGAAAGAGAGTGGCAGAGTGGATATCAAAAGAAGACCCATCAATCTGCTGCCTACAAGAGATCCAGTTCAGACACAAAGACAAAAATAAATTAAAAATCAAGGGGTGGCAAAAAAAAAAAAAGTATATCAAGTTAATAGCAACCAAAAAAGAGCAAGAGTGGCAATATCAATTTCTGATAAAATAGACTTCAAGGTGAAACTAGCATAAGGGACAAAGAAGGACACTATATGATGTTAAAAGTGTCGATTGACCAAAAGGACATTACCATAAGTATCTATGCACCCAATGAAAGAGCTCCAAAATATATAAAGCAAATACTAACTGAATTGAAAGGAAAAATATACAACTCTACAATAGTAGTAGAAGGCCTTAACACACCACTTTCAAGGAGGGACAGATCAACTAGAAAAAAACTCAACAAAGATACAGAAGAACTCAACAACACAATCAACCAACTTGACCTCATAGACATATATAGAGCACTCCACCAAACAAAAGCACAATACACATTCTTCTCCAGTACACATAGATCATGCTCCAGAATAGACCATATGTTAGGCCACAAAACACACCTCAATAAATTGAAAACACTGAAATACTACAAAGCATCTTTTCAGATCACAATGCTATAAATTTAGAAATCAATAATAGGAAGACCAAGGAACAAAAATCAAATATGTGGTAACTGAATAATACACTGCTCAAAAACAACTGGGTAACAGAAGAAATAAAATGGATAATAATAATTTTAAAAAAATTCCTAGACACAAATGAGAATGAAAATACAACTTATCAAAACCTTTGGGACACAGTGAAAGCAGTACTCAAAGGTCAATTTCTAGCAATAAATGTACACATCAAAAAAGAAGAAAGAATCGAAATCAACATTTTAACTCAATGACTACAACAATTAGTAAAAGAGCAACAAAAGAAACTTACAGTATCCAGAAGTAAGGAAATAATAAAGATCAGAGCAGGAAAAATTGAAGAAGAAAACAAAACCAAAAATAGAGAAAATCAACAAGACAAGAAGCTAGTTTTTTGAAAAGATTAAGAAAATCGACAAATCAGTGGCCAATTTAACAAAGGAAAAGAAAGAGAAGATGCAAATAACATGAATAATAAATGAAAAGGG